CTGTGATCCTCCACTCATTGGCGAAAAAATAACTAATGTCACTGTCGGTGATAATGCTGATGGCAATTGATGACGATGATGGAAGCGGATGATGATGGTGATGATGATGATGATGGAAGATGAGGGATGGAGGGGAAAGGTGCGCTTGCGTCTACAATGCCATCAGTTAGTGCTGATTTTGCATTCTGAGCAAACTGACACGGAGTTTGATAGATTGTCAGTACAGGAACTTTGCCATTATCTTCTATTTTTACGTGTTTGCTACGGTAAATTGTGGTGTCAACTATCTCCCTCTCTAAAAAGTCCATTTTTCAGCATCTCTAAAGTTGTCTGTGAAAGTGCAGGTTGCATGGAGGCGACCTCTTTTCCTTGCTTAGATGCTCATACGAGATTAACCAACCTGGTACAATTATACAAAGAAAATGAATTAACAAAAGAAGCCCATTACGATCATGCATAAACATTGCCAACGTCGAGAAAATGGCGCCTACGCGCCATGCCTAACATTGATTCACACCCACCAACCAGTATCAACACGCGTACTAGTGCAGAAAGGTCATGTCTTTGCCCTCCTGCAGTTTGTACTTTTCCTTACGTCCTAACCGCAACCTGTGATTGGAGGTCAACGTTGTCCTCCAGTTCATCAACACGTCTACCTTTGTTTCCAACATGTTTCAGCAGGCTGGAGTTGAAGAGGATGTGCGTGCATGCATGCGTCACCTGGCTGATGCTGTCAACGTGGCTGCCGTCCCCTCCGATTGCCGCCTTTTTATTTATTCGTGATCCTTTTGTTCTCATAAAACCAGTTTGCTTCGTGTCGCCACTATAAGTTGGCGTCACTGATTGCAAAGTGTTTCCAGTGCCTTTGATGTAACGCCTTGTTTACTTGACTACCTCTATGACTGGTGTTCACTACCTCTTGAGCGCGTGAGCTGGCCTTCGGGTGAAGGCGAAACTCGGTCTTTAATGCGTGCATTCAGCCACATTTCCTGCCTTCTGCTACCAAATAGGAAAGCCTCGAGAAGTCAAATTCGAGAAGAGATTAGTGAAATGTGGAGCAGAAATCCATAGTACATAAATGCGTGCGTCTGTGACATCAGTGGCATGCAATCAATCAACCCATCATCGATACCGCATACTGCCACTTGTGGAGAAAATGTTCTCTCATCTCCAAATGGGATGCTTTACTTGTGGCAAATGTCGGTCGAGATCCTCCACTGTAAAGGCAATTTTTGGTGGAGTCAAAAAGACGAAGACCCTATTCGAGCTGCCATAACTACGGGTAAGCACGGAGGCGCTATTAATCGCCAGCCTAAACGGACCCTAAATAAGGTCACATCGTTGCAGCTTAACCATCTCCCTACCTTTCGTTGCTGCCTCCTCTCTCAATTTCCCGGTTATTCTGTCTTGCGTTGACACCAAGCTAACAATGAAGGTCATATAATAAAAACTTTTATTGCCTTTGAAGTTGCATATAGGTCAGCTATGCACTGTCATCTTGTGCATACTCACAGTCACTCTCCAAAGCTACGTCAGCATTGTCTTCAATGGACTCCAAACATTCCTCACCCAAGGTTAAGGCTCTGTCACTGTCCAAACTTCCTCTGGACTCCAAGTGCACCGGTGTCGGTATGTCGAGGGCTCGGAATATTGTAGTTTGTAGTTCTCTATCCAAATAGCTTGTGATAGCTTCATAACCGCCTAGTTTTTCTTTCATCTCTTGGAGGCAGGCGTAAGCCTGAGAGGATTAGCAGAAAAATCCATGCAGAGAAACTAACATGAAAGTGGTTAAAAGATGGTCCAAGATCCAGCTCCAACCCCTCTACTATGGCGTTCCACTTGTAGTAGAGAAGTGGAATAAAGTGTCAGGTAGTTTTTACCTTATCTTTCCATTATCCATTAAATCTCAATATGACTCATTGTCTAGACGGTCACCGATTTAGGTAAGAATTATTTGACCTAGGTTTTATCACTTCAATGTGATAAAGGGACGTACAGCACGGTACTGTTCATGCGCAACCAAGCCCTTGACCATTGTCGCATAGATATGACCTGGACGGATGATTGTAGCCGTTTTAGGTTCGTCTAGTATCACTTGACATTGACTAAGCGCATCCACTGGGTCGTCCTCAAATAGCCTAAAAGGGAAGGAGGAAAGGTTGGCTACATGCACATCACCTTTATGAGACAAGTCTCACCACAGTCATCATTGGTGAGCTTACAGTTGAGCATCCACAAACTTTTTGCACAGCATGATTTTAGACTTGATGCTGCACAAACGCTCCTCCAATTTCTGTCCGGCTACTTCTGACGTGATGGCACCGTCAGAAACTGCTCTTGAGAGTGCCTTGTAGGCCTCTGTTAGAGCACCCATCGCCTTTTCATAGCTCTGATATTCGTCTATTTCCATCTACATATGAAAGTGAGGCAGTACTACATTGACACATGAATAAGTTAATTCCATAGAAAAAAGTCTAAAGACTTAGTTATTGCTTTGTGACCGATTGACAGTAATGCATCTGGAGATTTTTGTTGCGACAAGATCAAAGGGGCTACTGCCACTAATAACAATGGGGAGTGGGGGAGGGAAGGAGTTACAAACTGAAAGACTTGAAGGTATATTTTCCTTATACTTCATGTTTGTTTGCTCGTAAGCTTGGATGTAGAATAAACCTCACTCCTATGCCTTGCTAAGTAGATGTAATATATACGACAGTAATTATTTCGACGACGTTGAAGGTGGAGGAGGAGGACGAGGAGGGGGAGAGGGAGGCCTTATTAACAGTTTGAGAAAAAGCTAGCGTTTGAAGCCACTCGATCATGTATTCAGTAGTATTGATGCAAACGACGAATTTGATTGTGAGGCGTAACATTAAATACACGGAATTACCTGTGCGCATGCCTCGTAGAAGGATGAGAGTGAGCTGAAAGATTTGGCTCGCGTATAAAACTGGACAATGAGTTTGACTACGGCGGTATCATTGCGCCAGGTACCAAGAGTTTGAAGGTAATTTGCAGCCATATTGTAGATATCGCGTTGTTTACTCACATTGGCGAAGAAGATGATTTTGTTAGTGTCACCAGAGCGTAGTAAAGCTTTCATAGCACTGACACGATCACCAGCCTGAGTAAGTTTTTTACAAGCAAGGTGGTAGAGACCTTGAGAGAGGCATGCATAGCCCAGGCAAGTAAGCACATCACGCCTCTCTGTTTCCGCCATTCCACTTTCCGGCGGTGGTGTCAACAGCTCCGCTAGGTCCTCACCCAGTGTCACATCATACTCGGTGCATAACTTCACCGCTTCCAGCCACTGTGGAATAGAGAGGAAATGGAAAAGAACAATTTATATGTTGATTTCATCACAGTCAGTTCATCAAAATGGCTAGAAACGATTAGCATACAGATGTGGGCTAAACTCCAACTACTCCAATTCACCATTTTTGATATCCCACTTGGATGGCAGAACACAATCCTTAGAAGGGATAAAGAAACGAGACTTTACTTGCTTCCCTCTGGCGAGAACTTCAACAGCTTTGGTGAATTGGCTGTTTTGAAGGAAGAAGTCGGAGCACTTGCGTAATAGCTCTGGATCGCACTCAATGCCAAAGTCATCACAAGTTATGCTAACCAAGGCACCGAATTGTCGCTTTTCGAAGGCTAAATTTATAGCAGTATTTAGATGACCCGCTCTATGATAGAGTAGCACAGCCTTCTCCACAAAATCCTCTCGCTGTTCCAAGTGACGGGCAGCGTCAAGCATATCCTCCGGTCCGCCCAACTGGGCCAGGCTGTAAAGATGTTCGTTTCTGTTGTGCTCCTGCAAGGAAAGCGGTTTTGGGCCACCATGATGAGATCGCAACTCAAACAAGGTTGGAACGTGAGCAGAATTTTTGATTCCTCTTAAGGCAATTGAAAAGTCTCTAAGATAGCCTAAACAGTTGTTGAATGCTAATAAATGGACTTGGAAATCTGGACGACATTGAGCCTTCAGTCCCTCCTCCTCAGACATTTCTTATGTCTTTTTCGCCTCAAGCAACTCACCTTAGCGAGTCGTACAGCACAAGTGAAGGCATGAGCTCGAGTAAATAGCTGAATAGCTCGATCCACATTTCCTTTAGCTTCCATTTGTCTCGCCAAATGATAGCATGCAGCAGCATCACCGGTCTCGTTGCACAATTCCAAAGCTGCCTCCTCTCTTCCACTACAACAGCAAACACGAACCAAGGAGACGTAGTCCTTCACCCGACTGTAGTACACTTCTGCCTCTTCCAACCGTCCATTGGCTTCCAAGTATTGCGCCCACCAATGATGCAACTCTCTATGACATTTAGGAAAGCCAAGGTAGCAATACCTGGACGAATATGAGTTAACAAACTCTTCCAATTTCTCTGGAGAGTCTTTCAGCATCCGTGGAACCTCCATACAATGTGTATTTGATTGTATAAAACTAAGGGGTAAAATTGCAAATTAACTTTTAAATGTTGCGTACTGGTGAATTGCATCTTCCATTCTTCCCTGATTCTTCAACTCCAACGCAAAGGCATAATGCGTGTTTTTTAGACGAACTCGATTGTGTTTTTCAACAACACTCAGAGCCTTGTCCCAATGTCCCAGAGCACAATGCATTCGTGTGACCAAATCCCACCTTCCACATTCAATGAATAAACGCTCTGCTTCAGCCTTTCCAATGTGTTAGACAAAACGGAAGCCTACCGTCATGCCCAATTGTAGAGCCAATTCACCCACTTGAGCAGTACGACAATTGTTCCCATTTCGAAAATCTCGAAGCATTGATGCTCCAAATGCGTTACAAATTTTGCCCAGACACAGGAATCCGACGTCTAGGCGTCGAGTAATGACACAAATCTTTGCCATATTCTAAACGAAGGGAGAAGGAAAAAGAAATCAAAGCCGAAGGGAGACATCAAGTTTCCTTACCTCCCACACAGCAGTGCTTCGAATCAATCGCATGGATTTGAAAGCGGCATCAATCTCCCCATGAGCAAGGAAGAAACTGAAGTTGAGAATGGCATCTCGTGTTAGGGGATCTGCAGTCTCCAAATCACTGAACTCGCGCATAACTCGACGGTCCAGATAATGCGATCCTGTCTGCACGATTTGAGGATTCGTTTGCAGTTTTAATGCCTCCTTTGAAACGTCATTAGGCTGGAAATTAAGTAGGCAGATGAATGCGAAGTCAGATACGACTTTATGAATGTGATGGACAAAGTTGACTCTTCAACAGTTACCATCCATGTTGATAGTCACTCAACCTTGGGATGAAACAATGATGGTAGGACCTTGTGGTTGACACACTCAAAAACCACACACATTTGAGTGGACACGACCACGAGTCACTTAAATTTTAAATAAAAGCCTGGAAAAAAAACCACCTTTGAAGGTGTGGATGGATATGGTTATTCGACTGGATGCCAAATCAAGGTTTCACAGAAGGCAAGTTGAACTTGCATAGTAAGAAACTATCACTGTGGAGGACCTTCTATGGACTTCTCTCAAATCTCTCTTCCCAGTGCTACAATGGGATAAGTCGAAAGCATTTTTTATGCTGCCTTACAAGCAATTTCAATAGCAGGAAGTGCTTAGAAGATGAGGAGACTGGGAGAAGCAGATGTCAACCCTGTTATGACAACCCTGTCAGTGTTCTTCGTTTCCAATGCTTGAAATTCACTTAATGACAATTGTCAAGACCACACACTGCAGAGGGAGGAACTTTAAGAAAGGCAAGGGAAGGAGGTTGCTGAGAGTGTAGGTACCATGGCTTGAGTTAAAATGTGCAATGCATATCGGTTGTTTAAAGTGTCACTTGTTGGCGCGAGGCGGGTATTCAAATCGAACTCCATGCAGATGGAGTGAGAGGACTCGCCTCTGAACTGTGGAGGCTATCTATGCTTTAGAAATGTAAAATAAGGCACTTTAAGCACCTTCCCTCCTAGAAAGAATACGGTGAAGGATGTGGTGGATACAACAAGCGACACTACGAAATACTTGGGTAAGAAGACCATCTTCCGTTAAATAACAAAGACTTTGCATAAACCTCTTTAAAAACCAGAACCAGTGAAATAACAGGCTTCATTGGCAAAGAAGGGAACAGATGAACTCACTTTAAGAATGAAGTAAAAGTAAGGCACTTCAACACCAATCAGTCCATTGTAGTTTGGTTCAAGATGAAAAACCTCCTGTCCAATCATACTGTTGTGTGCTGGATTCACAAAAAATGCCACCACAATATTCTGCAATTAAAGTATCAAAGTTGGATTTGCGATCACAAATGTCCAAATATCCTTCAAGAAATGTCTTTCTGTTTGCATGCGTTTTAAGTCACATACATCTAAATTGGATGTGTTTGAGGTTTTACATTGCCTGTGTGAAGATGGTGAAAGCGGTTTGTTGGGTGTTTCAAACACCTCATCCGAGGATTCGCCAGAACCGCCCGAGTCCAGTGCTGTGGGTGTTGCAGAGGCGGAAGGTGTACTATCGAGGAGCAGTTTTGCTGCCTCCACCACCAGTAAACGGGGATCGTAGAGATCCCAATAATGTCGCAGAGGATAGTGTCCACGCACAAACTCGGAAGTCATCTGTGCCACGTTCGAGAGAATTTTGCTTTTACGTTCTACAATTGCATTACAAAAAATACCACTTAAATGTTTTACTAAATCTTGATGGATTCATTTACTGATTGACATTGATAGCGATTGTAAATTGATTTAATTTGACTCCACCAATAACTGACGGTCACTTTTGACAAGTCAAAGCCCCAACGTCTTGCCTTTTCTCCTTGAATGCATGCATTTAGGCCAACTTAATGGCCTTGTGAGAGGTTCAGGGACACTACATTAATGACAGCAGACTTTCGTCTTTGCTTCCACCGTTTATGATAAACTACTGGGGTGTGAATGAAGTGTAAACCTGAGGAGGACGAATCCTCAACTTCTTCATAACAAAGGGGCTGAAAACAATGTCTGTGCTTGGTATTTGCCCATCTCTGTGTACCACTGACAAGCGACACCATCACAAACTACTGTAAAAGTATTATTTGGAAACATCAAACCTAGACGATGGAATTGTGATGAACCTTCTTTCATGCATTCTCCCATTCTTCACGCTGTGTATCTGTTTTCAACCAGTGTTTTGATGTCTCTCACCCGACACAATTGATGGATAGCAGAAGTATGCGCTCCGGTTCCAGCTTAAAGACTGAACGTAACAGCATATCCAGTTGAAGCTGCTGAGACGATCAAGTCCACTCCATCAGTCTTATGGTACCTGACAACTGGTGTAACTGGCTTGTAAGGCTTTCGTGCAGTCTCGAATATGCTGTGATGGGTAGTACACAGCCAAAAGAAGGGAGAGGCAGTTACTTTGTTATTCATCTTGCTCTTATGCGCTTGGAATGGCCTTAGAATTAAGCTAAAACCCATTTTTTCTCCTCTTCCCTTGAATATGTGTATTTTTAGCCTAATTGACGACGCTACAGCAATGTTTCTGGGAAAGCAACTAACACTGCCCCCCAAATCGAGTTTAGAGGCTATTCCGATGCAGACAAACTGGATTAAATTAAACACAAAGCTGAATGGAATTGATGAATCATGACTTGAACGCCCATTGGTGAGAATTTCTCAACAGGAAATTACCTCTCAAATGAACAGGCAATACAGTACATTTCTAAAGCCAACTAGAAAAAAAAATTGAGCTCGTTCCACTCTATCTTAAATACGATAAATTGGGACTCTACTCCTACTAACACTTATTTGCCTTCTATTCAAATTGGGGAGTTTAACCAATCATCATTCCATTGTGCACATCTATGAGGACGCGTTTTGGATGGATCTTGATGTCCTTATCAAGACACAGAACTCAAGGTTGAGGTAGACACTTCCAGATAAAACGACATAGTGGTAGAGCAAAATCTGCCGCCGCTAACAAAATCGAGCTCCACTTCACCTTATTCTGTGAAATCTCATTGTTTACCCTCCAAAATCAACACAATCCCTGTAAAACGGCACCGAAATCGCTCGTCCAATGGGTCTAGTGCAAATGTATGATGAAAGGGACAGTTGGATTCAGTGGAATTAGAAAATAAACGCTCACCGTGGTCCTCTGAATGCTCCTTGTTGGAGTCTTCAGTCGCAGTATCGTCCAGAGATTTGCCTTCACCGGTTGCAAAGTCAAACACCTGAACTCTATCCGATGCCAACTGCCATACAAAAATTCTCGAATCTGACTGTGGAATTGGAAAGGCATTGACGATAAAGGCAATAGCACTAGCATTGCTGTTTATGGAGAGCCAAGTGACACGCATTTCGGAATGCCTTGTGCCTGTAACAGTTGACAGATTGCGACTAAGTGCTTTCGATAAGTACATCTGTTTTGCTTCTCTAAAACATCCAAATTACACAGTTCCCTTCGTTGATTGGATAACTAACTTTTTTGTTAAGTCAAACACCTTCAACACTCCTCTTTCACTGAGGCAGGCCATAAAGCCATTGCAGACAGAAGTTACTGCAATTGAGCCATCGGCTTCTGAAAAATTGATTAGCTGTTTGACAGTTCCCTAAACACCAAATGTTAGGCGTCGGTAGGACCAACCAACCTGAAGATTGCGTATGTGAATTTGTCGTTCCTCTCGTGTCACTATGCTCTGCTCATGCATTCCTACGCATTCAAACTCACAAGCAAAGGAAGCTAGCGAGAAGAGGAGAGAATTCGAAGAGAATCCGTACTTACAAAACGGAGCCAGAGGTTGAGAATAACCGTGTTTGTAGACTTGCAATTGGCGACCATTCCAAACAGCAACATGTTCCTCAATGTAAAAGAACGGGCGACAATCAGGAGGGATGTAGAGACACAACAAATGTTGAAGGTTGATTTAAGTTCGAATTAACGAGATTCGTAGATGCTTATGTCATATACTGCTTTTAGCCTTTGTAAGCGTCAATATTGCAGACCTCAACGTGAACGCCATGAGTGTAGGAGGTAATCGCCCTGCAACGCCTGCACAGTTTTGAACGATTTGAATATCAGAATATTAATGAGAGTACTTAGTGTGTCGCAAGAGTTCACTGGAAAGAAATCATAAAGCTATGGGAAGTCAATCTAACGATGGAACTTCTACCAAGCTGCAAACCTATCATCACCCCTACTCGTGTACAAAATGCGCTTCGGAGTTGTTCCTCCACACAAATCACACTTTCAGAGAACTCGATGGATTTCTCGGAGCCTGGAGATGTCGTTGAAATGGAGGACAATGCAGGTCGAACAGCAACGAGGTCTGGCGCCTCCAATTTGGCAAAGTAGGTGGGATTTGATGAAAAAACAGCAAGACACTGTGAGGAGATCTGGACAATAGCACTACCTCCACCGCCAACACTAGTGCATAGAGGCTGTTGACGCAGAATGAAGGCTGAATAGATGGACGCCTTATTTTCCTCCTCTTCAATTCCACCTAACAAAGTGGAACGACTTTTACTACAAATACTTGCATGTATGCATCTTACTACTCATTTGAGAAAAGGAATGTCTTAGACTCGGCGGTTGAACTTCCAATGCAACAGTCACTGCTTTACCTCTTCCTCCAAATTAGTAGGGGTTGGTAACCAGTCAGTCATTACGACTTCTTGAAATTTTACTCACCAATCAGTTACCCTACTTTTGGACATGTC